TGCGTTTAACGTGTTTATGTTTCATTGAGCTCGCAGGAGGTTCTCATTTTGATGTTCCATTTTGCAGCCACTTGCAAGTGGCTGCAAGTGACTGCTACTTCTGTCCGGAGTATATCGTGATTTTTCCACACGCAGTTCTGAAGAAAACCAAGATTTCTGCAAAGCTGTTCTGCGAGCCGAGAAATCATGAATAATCCAAGACTTTTCCAAGAATAACTTCCAAACTTCTGCAGAGCTAGCGACGAAGAAATCTTACAGTTTCTACATAAAGAACTCAAAGTACAGTGTTGAAATTTGCTTGAGTGACAAGTGGCTGCAAGTGGCTGCCAAGTGGCAACCTGAGCAAGTGGCTGCAAGTGACTGCAAAACCAAAATCAAAATGCACATCATTTGCTCGCTCTCTGCGCTTTTTGTTTTTAACGTTTTTACGTTCTTTTTGAAGGAAGACAAATAGCGAAAAGAAAGAAGACGTCTGTATAGAAACCAACGTTTCAAGTTCTTCTTGGTGGTCTCACTCTCAAGTGCCTGCACATCCTCTGCGGAAATGACACCATCACTGTCCCGGTCAAAAACACACATGTATGCAAGAAAACATGTGTGCGCAACACAGCACGCTTCGTGTATACATATTGGTGTGCAGAGTGCTGAAGAGTTTCCTTTGTATGGGTGTGCAATTTGAACCGAGCGTTAACATCCCACCCCAACCCACCCCACCCCACTCTCAGTCACTCGCATTGTGTACATAGCGTAGCGTAGAAGGGTTTCTTCTGTATGGGTGTGCGGGTGTGCAATTTGAACCGACGTTAACATCCCAACCCACCCCACTCTCAGTCACTCGTATTGTGTGCGTAGCGTAGAAGGCTTTATTCTGTCTGGGTGCGCAGTGTCTGCAGAGTAATTTATATGTGCAGAGTAAGTTGAATCTAAAAATATAGGTTGGAAACCATCGCTTGTATGTTTATTTGCAGAGAACCTTTCGCTTTGGAACCACACACGGTACAGACGTGGCAGGCCCAAGCAAGGTTCATTTCTTGCCAACTGGACAAAGTGTGACCACCTTCGCTCCATTCTCTGCTTCATAAAATTCCATACCACGATCAATACCTGAGATGCCTGTAGCCCCCCCCAGCCACACTCCCCATGTAGAGTTTGGGCAAAGAATTTTGATTCCTCTATCATCTTTGACAGCAACAGCGTGGAATCGTATTTAAACATTAAACAAAGAATGTGGTTTTGACTGTAGGGACCATTCAAGGCGAACCTTCAACACCTTTCCCTTTGAACCATGGATCAAAGAGAGACCTCCCTTGCAGCCCTCACTTTGCCAATGTTTGTGCCAGGAAAGGCAACCTTTTTTGTCATGCTCTCCGTGGACCAAGACGAGGAGCGCTTTGGAGGATCGGTTGTACTGCAAAGGTCATGCGACCAACAACGAGGAGATGTGGTTCGAAAGCTTCCCCATCAAGGAGGAGGATTTGCCATACTTCTTGCCAAGCGGCAACGATGACTGGACCCAGGCACTCGCTGCAGGGTTTGTTAAGTTGTAATGTTAGTACACAGAGATACACAGGAAATGAAGGTGATAGAACTGTAGAAACTCCATGCGGGAAGTTAACGAAGGTAAAAATGGCTGTGCCCCAAGCATCAGTGTCTTTCAGCCTAGAGGGTTACACCACGCTTGGGAGCCAACCAACCAACTACTGGCTAGAGCAACGAATAGGTCGCGCATGATTGCACAATTAACCGGGTGCCCAACTTCACACACAGGCAGGTGATGTGAGGAAGAAAACCTTGGCAGTTTGTTTAAATGTCACCCTTGGGCTGGGCAGCTGGATACTGTATCGTTTTAGCCTGCTTTAACTTGAACCATCAGAACAGTCTCATTCGCACGCACTTTTCATTGCTTTCCACTCAATCTGCTTGGCTGCCAAGTCTGGATCAGGTGTACGTACACAATAATTGCAGTCGCATCAAACATAGCAGATGTGCTTCAAGAGGGACACTGTACACAGTTCAAGAGTGGAAGAATAAACAGAAGTCAGAATGGATGGAGGTAAGCTTGGGCCTGCTGGACAACACAGCCTCGCCCTTCTGGCATGCTTTCTCGGGTCAAAAGTCAAAACAGCTTTTTATAGTTTTTGTTGATTTTCACCTGTTACTTTGACAATACGGGCACAGACCAAAGTATGATTCGTCATGATCTGTCCGATATATGTTCAAGTGGTGCACAGCAACATGAATATGATGAACTCAAGGAGGATTGGGCACAAAGGGAAGATCACGACATACTGAGCTGCCAAGAGCAAGCCAAGCTGCTCGAATTTCTTGTCAGTTCCCAGGAAAAAGAAGGCCGAATTGAAAGACTGGGTGCGACGGCCGAGAAACATCAAGCACCCGAACTACATTGCAAACCTGACATGTTTGGATTGTTTCGCTTTAGGTTCTGTGATTCATTTAGACAGCGACAGAGCATCAGAGGCTACACTGAGCACTCAGTGAGTCCTTTGTGGAAGGCCCCTAAGTATAAAGATTTGCATCATAATGGCCTTGTTTACTGCTAGTCATCAAATATATATAATATGGTCAACAAAAGTGACTCGGTTTGAAACCGGCGGTTTCTCTCATATATATATACATATATATATATATAATCAGTTTTACTTTTTGGGCTGAACATAGCTTGGTCGTTCAATTCTGTTTTTCAGTCCTGTTCCCTATAATCCAACAAGAAGACACAGATACCCTTTCCACAAGATACCGCAAGCAAAAATATCAGAAGCAACAATCCATGCTTGTTGTTTTTAGATGAATGTCAGACATGTCGGCACGCAAAGCCATCTCCCAAAGACGCACTGTTATTTATACCAAATCTTGCCACTGTAGGCAGTCAAGTAGCAGTGGCCAGTATTTCATGACTGTGACACTGTAGGGGGCCCACAGGAAGATCCCGATGACAGGTGGGAGATCATGACCATGTGCTCCAGATTCTGCAACGCTCGCTACTAGGACTCTCGTCGGGTGTGTGTTTGTATGAATGCTTCGCGCGTACTTGAGTGGCTTTGCCCTGGCCTGGGTTGGCTAGAACTTTCTAGGCGAGGGCGACTTGACTGGGGTGTGGATGTAAGAGCCTGGCCTTTGTAGACATGAGAACATGAGAGCCTACTCCAGTACTGCCCAAGGCACTGGAGTGGGCGTTTCAAGGAGAGGAAGGGATATGAACGGAGGACAAACATCATATGCGGAAGATGTAAGAGAATGTAGGAGTCCTTGCCAGCAAATTGGCAGCTCACAATTCTTCAATGTTCCTTCTGCCCGGGAGGCGGTTCAAACCTGTGGACACTCTGTTCAAGACACTGAACAGACTCCAAGCGACACTTATTGGGCCTAGCAGCCTAGCAGCTGCAAAGCTCACGATAAACACAGCATGAGTCACAAGAATTATGCAAGCAAATTCCTTCAAATTCCTTAGGGCAATTCCCCAATAGGTCTACCCCGTTGATTCAAGAGTACTTCTGACGTAGAAAGGGAAGAAATGGAACAAACAGTCAACCGGTTTGAATCCCTTTCCATTATTATACATCAAACTATGCGCGCAATCTCCAGAAGCCTTTTTGATATTACTAGAGGTAGACAGTCTAAGAGTACGTCCTGGTGCCTAAGAATCTACTGTACTTGTTTCGCTTAGTAGCTACCTCCTCAAGGCCTACCCCCTTTTTATTTCACAAGAGTTCTTTGATTTCTTTAAGCTTTCTTCCTTTCGCCAAAGCCAAGACCTAAGACAAGTTTCGAGCGGCCCAAGCTTCCAGCGTCAGAGCTCCACGATGTTCTTCCACGTCTCGTTTCAATTCGCAAAGCTTCGCCCAAGCCTATTCCGGGTTCAAGCCCTTGGACCTCATCGCAAGCTTACACCCTGGCGCCCCCAAGCAACCCAAAAAATGTAAAATCAATTCACAGGGTTGCTTGCTTCTGGAATTCTTGCTTTCAGGAAGTGTGCAGTTTCGCTCTTCAAAGCACTACGATGTCGTCTTTGGCTTGTTGAAGGTCGGCCGCAAAGAGCGAGCTGATTGAGCAGACTTTTGTCAAGTTGACGATGTTCGGACTCCGGACCTGGAGACATTTCAATCACTGGTGGATGTGAACCATTGCCTGATGAGTGCCTGTTTATTGGGCTTTACACAAAGGCAACAATGTTGTGCAGAGATGGCATGGTGTGACCGCTTGTCATGATGTGCTTAGCGAGACTCAAGGTTAGCTTTTTGGCCTTGTTGTGGTCCAAATTGTTGTCACGTAGTATGTCCATACTGGAACAGAGACCCCATGTCATTTCATTTGGATTACTATGACTACTGATGCTTTATGCGAGGTCAATCCTACACTGCCAAGGGAGTTGACTCCAGGCGTCCACACGGAGATCGTGGCTCCTGAAAGGCCGTAGATCTTGTTTTGTTGCAGCCTTGCTTTTGGAAGGAAAGCTCATTCTGCAGGTGCTATCGTCAATTCCACATCTTTGAGCGTTTGCCACTGAAGTCCCTGCCTTAGCATGTGTGTGTGAAGCACAGGGTTGTCAGCTACTCAACTCGTATCGCTTTGAGAGGGTTTTCAGCATCTTTGCAGCCACAATCCTTCCGGCACTATCGAAGCTCCAAGATCTTGACCCTTTCTTGCTTTAGGACAAACATGGGAACATGGGATATGACCAGCACTTTGTATGCCAGCCAGGAACTACGGATATGGCTTTGAAATCGCTCCAGAATTGGAGGCACTTCTTGCTGGATGTCAGAGCAAGCGAAGTGGGTCTCTTGTATTTTGTTGGATCCGTGATTCCGAACACGGCTGTCGCTTTAAGTTGAAAGACGTCGAAAACATCAAGAGGTGTGCTGTGAAAGTCTCACCTGTCGCTCATCGCTCACTGCTTTGCTATATGAGATTCAGATTGCTTGCAGCTTTGTGAGGTGGACGGTTTTGTGTATGGTAGCTTCGACGAGATTATTGCACGCCACATGGACAGCGCGACGATTTTCGTGACAGCAACAGTTGCAGTCAAGTTTGTCAAGCCTCATTTCCAACGCTGCAGGAACCAATCATGGAGAACCTCAGGGCGATACAGAACCACAAGCATTTTGGCCTGAAAGAGGGCCAAATTACCGACAAGATACAAGTGGAGGATGGTCTCAAGTACTTAAGCCGTGGCAACCGGGTGCTGCAGTACAAGCTTCTACTACATGACCAAGCACCCGGGCATGGCCAATTGCTATGGTGTGTCCAAGCAAAATCAGTGAAGGAGGAACTCATCGAAGTCTTCCCCCACGGCTTTTTCCTTTGGGGTCTCCATTTCAGGACATTGAGAGAATTGATCGAATGGTTCAAAGAGACCGGATGGCGAAACCGGGACAAGTGCAGAAAGGATTTCCGTGAGGAGCCTGGACTCACTTGCTTTAACACAGAGCGTTTGCGGATGTTTGCGGCATAAACAGGAAGACTTTGCCAAAGAGACTAAAATACTGTAATCGCCAGCACAGATTGCTTTTGCAGAATAAAATTGAATAAAAAGTCATCTAAAAGTCAAACCTGAACAGGATCACCCCGCTTAGAAGATCAGGTCAAAGTCATATGTCAGTTTCATTGTACGGAGGAGTGCAGGAAGAGAGAGGAAGTGATGCGAGACAAGCGTGGGGAGCACGCAGATCCAGATGCAGCAATTCGAAGAAAGAGAACGCTCAGGAGCAGAGCAGGGTTGAAAGCAACAAACCCTACAACTTGCAGATGCTTACAGTTTCATATTGGCCTGCATCAACATGCTGGCTGGTCTGCATAAGATGCCTTTCCTCCGTCGAACTAATTCCATGGATGTCCAAAGGATGCTAAGCACAACCCAGTGCGACTTCATCCAGCATTTGGATACAGTAACTTCTCTTGTGGACCCCCCATGAAATGTTGTCCGACCTCGTAACCTATGGCTTTCAGAGGAACGTCGCTTCTGTCATAACGCGGGTTGTCCAGCTGCAGGATGGCTGCAGGTGCTGATGGACTCCAAACACCAGGTGGAAGATCCGGCGCACCCACTCCATACGGCCACTTCAGACAGGAGGCAGATGCGGGTCCAGATGCATTCTTGGACAATGCGGGAAGAGCCACAAGAAGATAGACATGACATGAAACATCATGAAACAATATTAAACATGTTTTGAGGACGCCACTAGGGACTCCTGGCATCGCTACTAGGAGCAAGGACCCTACTAGGGGCGCCTGGCCTTACTACTAGGAGCAAGGACGCTACTGGGAGCTTTTCCGCGCATTGTCCAAGATAGATCAGGCCGTCGCTAATGTATTTTTGTTTGCTAACTACCTACAGCACCTGCACCGATCACCCACCCAACACCTTGACCAACCCAGATGATGGGCACAAACGTGAATGGCCATATGGCAGACTCCACAATAACACACCATCCAAATGGGTCTAATTTGTGAGCATCTGTATGAAAGACCTCTTCTTCTCCTCATCCTTCATCATACTCATCCTCGCAACTGGGCTCCTTTCTCCATCAGGCCAATGCAGCAACGCCAGCTGGTTTGTTCTCGAGCCCGGGCACAACCCGGACTGTTGCACCTGGCAGCGTGCCTCCTTCGCCAGTTGCTGCCACTCCAGCCCGAGGCACATGCGTGGGCGGCTTGTTTAGAATGTGAGAGGCAAGAAGTCCAAGTGCTTCAATGTGGTGCAGCCTTAGATTCCAGTTTCCACGAACAAACAAACTGTTCAAACCTTTTCTGGTTGGAGGTAAGTGGTGCTATTCCTGGAAGGGAAGCATTGGTGGTATGATTAATTTGTAATCACAATGAACAATGAGCTAGTTGTAGTTATAGTCATTGAAGAGCAAAAACGGTCATACAGTATGTCAACTGTAAACGACCAAATGTATGGTGAAAAAGAAAGCCGAGCCGAAGCACTTCCAGCCATTTTCCCATCAACAGCGGCGGTTCGACATGCACATAAGCACAGGTGGGACAATAACTCCAGCAGCCTGCTTTGAGCGTCCAGGCAGGATAAAAGAGAAGGCAAGACTTCGAGCAAGCTATTTCTATGATTTCTTGAGTGTTGAAACTCAGAAGGGTCGATTTGGCATTTGTAGAAGGCAATGCATTCCAATATACAGTAGATCCCAATCCTGTCAAGTGGCCTCAGGAGCTCCAGCGACCCCTCTGCATGCATTCCCGAATTTCTCACGTGGAGGCACACTGACTGTTCGGTTGCGATAAGTCGCTGCGCAGATGTTGCTCATTGCAAATAGTGTTTATATACATAGGAGAGGGAAAGGAGCATACATGTGTATCCCTAGAACCTGAGCAGTGGTCCTGAAATTTCAATATTCAATGCAACGCCTACCTCTCGACATGTCACGGATGTGGTTGGGGCATGTCGCATCGTTTGATCAGCTTGAATGCCAAAAGACTCTAGATTCACTCTAGATCCAGTTTGTCACCAAGCAGGCTTGTAATTCAATAAACATTTTGCGCTCCTCATGACACACGACTGGGCACATGCATCTCGAGCTGTGCATGCTGCAATGCCACCACCGTCCCTGTGCAGGTGCCATGACACCAACAGGCCCAGGCGCAGCCATGACCCCGCATGAAGCTCCAGGAACACCTGCAAACGCTTTCCCCGGAGGCCGGAGCATGGGAAGGCTATTTCGACGTGGGAAAAGACATCAGTTTTTCCCTTCAGTGTCGGATCTTGGTTCGTATGAGGGGTAGTGAATTCCGATGTTGAACAAATGGATCCAAATGTCAGTGAGTCCCTAGTCGTCAAGGATTGGACAGCGCGTGTTATGAGGATCCAAATTATTCTGAGTCGTTCCATGCTTTTGCATATGCATGCTCCATTTTGTTGCCCCAGGAGGTCAAGCAACCCCGGAACAATTTATCAACTTGCAAACTTTGGAAGCAGGGATGGATCACAATCCCTTTGGACCCCTTAAACAATTCAATGTATCAACAAGCGTCAGACCGGCCAAAAGCAAGAGTGGTTCAGGCTATGGGCATGCTGTTTGTTCCCATCGGCAATGTCATGGATGGTGAATATGGATCCAAAGTCAATTCAGACCATACTCCATACACAGAAACACATGAACAAGGAACAACTCACCACTGGAGTTCAACAAAGCAGTCGCATATCCACCACTTCTGTGAATCAGACTTGCAGATGCTAGCTTGTGATATTGTCCTGCCCTCCACCCACTACCACCAAAGTTCTACTGTACAGGTTTGATTTGACCAGGACGATCCGGTTAGGTTTGGATCTACTAGGTCAACAGCTCCGCAGGTGCGATGACACCAAGCAATATCATTCCACACACGCCTTTTGACACGCGACCTGGTCCGGGAACCTCAGACACGCTGTGAAGCTGCAACATGAGTTGACAACTTCAGCTATATAAATTCCTCAGCCTTCAGGTACTCCTGGGCAACAAATTCCACAGACTCCGCTTCTAGGAGGCCATAGAGACATCCAATGCTTTGCTTCAAATACGGCTGAGGCTTGTGATAAGAAATCCCCATTTTGTCGATAGAGTAGAATATTTCTTGATCCCGAATCTAGTGTTGGAATAAGACATCTAATGTCGGGTTTCTTAATCTAGGGGTTTCTATGTCCCACACATCTCGGGTCCGCACCCCTTTCTATTTTCCTGTAGATTCTCCTGGATAGAAGAGGTTTATGTCTTTTCAGTTTCAAACCCTTTTGAGAACCCCTTTTCCAAAGCAAAATGCAATGAATCAGAAGGGTTCATTGCGCAGCAGACGTGGGTGGAAGTTCAATATGTTTCTTAGATTCATCAGGAAACACACATACCTCGTCCTGCGTGTGTCCCTCCAAAACCGTATCTTGTTCCGCTTGTTTCCCGCACTGTCGGGGTTCTGCGGCATCAAAGGGAAACATACGGGCCACTTGAGCGACGTTTTCTTGTTAAAAATGAGCGGGTTAATCAAGGGGTTTTATATTATATTATATTATATATATTGGCTTTACAATGTCCAACTATTATAGCTTCGAGTAGGGATTCGCATGGTGCAGAGGATTGTCTCTCTTTCAAATATTTGTTGGGGGGGCCTGTTCCAAACACCCAAATTCAATCATGACAGCAGGCTTCATTTCGTAGCAGATGTTGGGCATGGCCGGAAGTTGAAAGTTTTAAGTTTTAAGATCTTTTTTCAGGTTCCACCCTTTGAGAAGGAAGAGGAGGAGGAGAAGGAATAAGAGCAAGTACCGGTATGCAGGGTTTGGTTGTAATTTCTTTAGTATATACTGTGTTGTTTCTTAGTGCTTACTAAATTGGGTGTGTTTCCTAACTAACATGGGAGTCTAGAGTGACATACTGTCCTCGACATTAGAGCACAATTTATCAATCTATAAACATGTCTTAGCGCAGTCCCAGACCGTACTTTCGTTGAAGCCCACAGGTGTGACTCCTGCTGCGCCTCCAGCATATCAATACCACGATATGATTGATGGAGGCGACGAATCGTTTCCTGAAGCAAAGGGCTTGTGAAGAGCGCTCAGGTGTTTAAGCGCTCATGTTTCATGATTTGTCTCTATATATATATATTGCTTTATCTTTCAACAAGTTTCTTGTTTTGGAGGCACACCAGGAGAAGTCCCCGTGACCCCAGCAGCGCGGCCAAGAGGCTGACCTCTTTGGGAGCGCTTTGGCATCAGGAATTCAAGAGTGACACACAAGTGACACAATTTTATGACTCTTTCATAGTTTTTGTTACTCTTTCAGCTGAGCTATGAGTGAGTGTCAAATAGATTTTATGAACAGGTGCCAACTTGGGAAAACTGGTGTCCACACATTGTGGCGACACCCACTGGAGTCCTACGAATCCCATCCACATTGTGGTGTCCAATCACATGCCTCGGTTTACCGGGTTGTTTCATCCAGCTTTTGAACCATGTGCCACTTGGTTTTCTCTTTTCTGTCTAGATGTGGTGGTATGATGTGGTATGTGAGCTGTAAGATGCTGTGAGGTTTGCTGGTCTAACGCTACAATTCAGGGTGAGAGAAGGCGATGCTGTCCAAGAAACGTTCAAGAATCTCCAGGACGAGACATGGGGCCAAGATCGATCCAGGAAGACTTGTTCACGTATACGCTGATTGGTATGGGCTTTTTGGAGTTCTTGGCCATTGTTTGATCCTTGGAGACCGTCGACCTGACAAACCGGGCTAGGGCGGCTAGGAGGTAGGGGTCTTTATGCCGTGTTGAGACAAACGGCAACACAGTATTTAACTATTTATATAAAAGGACATATCATATATATATAATATATTACACACTGTTACACAGTATGCACACACTATATACGGCATATTTTTTGTCTGGGTTTTGGAGAGTGCTTAGATGTTGTTGGTGGGCATGAGCTAAGGAAGGTGACAAGCAGCCACCCGCCTCTGAGTGCTGAGTCCGTCTGACAAC